AATTCGCCTGTGTGATTTCAAATTTATTTGGAAGTCATGTTCTAATTTTAAATCACACCGGGGATTCCAAGTTTAAAAAAAGCACATGAGTAAAGAAACGTACAATCCGGACTTTTTAGCGGGATCGGGAAGCGTCACTTTAGCAGTTTTGTTTTTCTTGTTAAAAATTGTGTTGTGGCGGGTGTTAGTGTCTAATAATGATGGATTTAAACCACTAAGTGTTCGAGAACATGCACAAGTGCTGGCAAGTGAAACAAAATAGCGGAAAGTGTCTTTCGACGTTTCCTCAAGAAGTACACGGGGAGATTCCAGTAAATCCCCACACATTTACTGAAACATAGGGAAAGGGGGATTGACTTGACTGCGACTTGACTTGATTTATTAATTTAACCACTAGTGCTTTAGAATTTGTAAACATTTTAACACTTGACATTGGCTAAATAAAAATACGTACAGTCCGTAGTGAAAAGAAGTTTGTTCAAGGTCTTTACAGAATAGCCATGCAGGTCTATAGCGTTCGCGCGCTACCCAGTAGTTCGTTTATTACATCTTTGGTAATTCAGCTCAGACCAGTCCGATGTAAATCTGTTTGATCGCAGTATTTAGACTGACGCGAAAGATTTATCTGGTTATCTGTCATGTATCTGTCATGTTGTGAGGTTAGTTTCTGTTTGAGGTTAGAAATTATTCTTCGGTTGGTCGGGCCGTTCAGGTTAATCTGTGATCACGTGACCAAAAACATGCCGCCTTTGCGGTGCAAATACCGAACGTATCTATTGTAGCAAGACGTCTCTAAGGCTGTTTTTCCACCAGAGATATGTTATGCTACGTTGCTGTGGATGCGTTTGATATCCACCTATCAAATTCATTGGACCACATAGCATAGCAGTGGTGGAAACGGGTTTAACTAAGCTATAGTTTTTATATGGAAGGATGCATGCTATGGATGCGTGCTATGGATGCGTGCTCTGGATGTGTGCTATGGATGCTTACTCTGGATGAGGGCTATGATGGCTGCGAGTAATGTAGCTATATTAAATCTATTGCGCCGCCGCTCCTTCCCGCTTCCCTACCATCAATACATCGCATAGCTCGAGTTGCGCATCTTCCTCGCGCAGCTATTTTGCAGCGCCGCATTTTCATAGCACATCTTACTCGCCCCGCTACATAGCTTCAGTGGAAACGGTCACGTAGTTTCGTAGCTTAGCTGACACATCTTCGCAGCATAGCTGCATAGCACATCTCTGGTGGAAAAGCACCCTAAGGCTCGTACAGTACAGTTAGAAAGGGATGTCGCTCAGTATAGCACATAGCGACATCCCTTTCTAACTGTGCTCCGGTAAAGATCAACACTTACTTGTCATTCTGTAATACGACCCTTTTTTTGTGTCTGGGGCCTTACCTACGTCCTGAACAGGGCCACTAAAAACCAGACAATACTCCTGCACCGTCACCCGACACGCACTATGAGGACCACCGTGTGGTCACGGAACCCGTCTCCGAATGGCCGAGCACCCGCCAAGTCTGTAATACGAGCCCAAGACTCGGCTTGTCCTACTCCATTCAAACTCGGCAGAGATGACTGTCGGAAAGAGCTTCTGATTATTTTGTATGGTAGTTGGGGACTTTAGACAAAGTTCATTGAACGGCTCGAGTGCATTATCACGAGCCATTTCCCATTTTTTTAATTTGTCGATTTGATAACGCAATCCATCCAAATAGTAGCAAAAACATTGCCTGACCAAGTAATTCTACACAAATGACCAAAGTCTGACAGTACTTATTTTAGGTATAGGCTAATATTATAGATATGAGTGTTAGAAACTATTTATTTATTGAAAAAAGATTGAGATAAAGAAGTTTGTAATAAAAAAGAAAGACTTTGTTTTTATGTGAAAAACACGGCTACTTAGCATATTATTCAACGCGCGCAATAAGCGGCCATTATGCGATACCAGAGATTTACCTGTGGGTTTACTCTCGAGTTGCCGAATTCTTTACTCGATTTATTAACGCCGTGAAACCTTACATTTCGGGTATTATTTAGTTCCAGTCTTTCTAAGGTGAGGTGCCTTGTTAGAGGTTACTTGAAAATAAACATAATGACGGGGTAAATTAAATGAAATTCTATTTAGTGCATCAAAAATAATGGACACGTATTTTTTCTTTTGTCAATCAACCAAAAACATACAAAGATAAAGCGCGTCAAAGTTTGGGGGGCGGAGGCTCAACACGTCACTCAACTTTTTAAATCAATATACCTATCTCTGTAATGTTTTGATAATTTGAAAAATAATTGATTAATATTATTTGATAATATACTTGATAGACAAAGAGACAAAGAAAAAAAGTTACTCCATATTCAAGCAGAATATTCGTTGTTCATAAATGAGTACTGTCCCGTCTGATGAGTTTTTTCTAGCAAAATTTTCTTGAGATTTAAACATCTAGCAGTTAAATGCTTAAAAAATATATATGTATAATGAGTATTGTCATTGGTTTCACGAACAGCAAAGTATCCATTGTGATTCAGATAATTAGAATGTTTCCGTTTGATTTATATTGATCTTACCTAGTTGTGCATTAGGGCGACCAGTGCAAACAGTCATATTGCGTCGCTGCGCGGGCGCATTGTAATTGCTGGGTAAATGGTGCGTGATCGCGCATGTGATGTGCAATACGGCAATTATTTGGACATGGAAGTCGGTAACCATTATTGGGAATACAGGCGGATGACATGATTCTTAAGAGTGACCAATGAGCATAAAGCTATACTGTGTTTATGCTATTCTTAGCTTAGCTGGCGAATGCGTTACGCGTTACGAAAAGTGTGTTCGGGCGAGGCGAACGGGAGTTGAGTGGGGGATATAAGCAAGAGAAAGCAGTGCGCGGGCACATTTAATTTCTCTCTTTCTCTTATAGCTAGTAAATGAAACATGTATATGTACATAAATGTATATATTTTACAGACACATATATGTGTACTTCAGTCGTGTGGTCATAAGCACACTCATTTTTTTTATTAAAAATGTCCTTACTCGGCTAGGATTTGAACGCGGGCCGCCCGCGCAGCAGGCGGGCTATCTACTATCTACCACTAGTACACCGATGTTTGTTGATAAAATTTGATTTTTTAATTACAATCAAAAATGTAAAAACTAAATATTGGTTTACGTACCTTAATTATTATTTATGAATCACCATAAATAAAGCTCTGAAAGCATGTACATCGTTTTAAACTTTAATGTAACATTACATAATCGTGATTCAGGTAAATACCAACAAAGAGATGAGATGACACTCGAGGTTGTTAACATCGCGTGTCGACAAATACGCGCACGAGAGTCAAACACCACGCATCTTATAGATTATTGACTTGGAAAAATTGCTGGACAAAAGCAGTTGCGTGTCTAACTCGGAGCAAGAGCTTATGAGCATGTTACGTTCGATATGCAACATTTGGAATTACGCCATGAAATTGAGGATATGAACCGCAATTGTTTGATATCAAGCGCGGTTTTTTTTACCACGTTTCAAAATGTACATAAATTTCAAATAGTTTTTAATATTTTTATTTATTAAGAATTCACCTTTTATAATTTAATAGAAAAATAATACTGTAAAACATAAAAGATAACTAACTAACTCGAATTATTTTGAAGGCTAGTCTACAGATAAGAAATTTACTTCGCCATTTTTTTAATTTAAATAATGTTTAATGTTAAGTCTTAGTTCACGAGGTACCTATAAGATTGTAAGTTAAACTTGTTTTCTAAAGAAATTTATGTTGAAACGAAAGCCCCTATAGCCTCGTGCTTGGTTAGCGAAAGCGCCGTGAAATTGATGTGTTTCTTGACATCTGTGCTTCTGACGCCAGATATAAAACGCTCCGTCGTTCCGTCCGTCTGCTCTTTGTCTTTATATTATTAAAAAACTATCCAAAACAAAGGAGTTTCCATTCTCGTCATAAGAACACACATGTTGAACTAACACAGGCATCACCTTTTAAGAAAGGTAAAGCATATGGGGGATTCAAGGAGGTTTTTATTCACAAAAGAAAACTTAAAAGCTTTGCGACATTTTGGCTTCACCTTTCATAGCTTAGATCATTTTGTTTGGCATGAACAATCGCAGCCACAACGCTCGATAATCGACTTGCCTATACTTTAAACCTCTAATCGAATTGGAGCCCTGTGGTAGCAATCTCCAACTTATACAACCCATGACACACATTACTGCTAAAAAGGAGTATGTCTTGAGTTCATGTAAGTACTGCATGTGCGTTTTCTTTCATGATCATCAGCCTAATAATGTCCCCACTGCTGGGGTACGGGCCTTCCCTATGGATGGAATAGGGAGATTGGGCCATGACCAACCACCACGCGGGCTCAATGAGGATTGGTGTGTGCTAACTGCAGATGCAGCCGGGACCAGCGGCTTAATGTGCCTTATGAACACGAAGGACCTCGAGATAATAAGTTTTGGTCACCCGATACTAGAAAATTCGACACGACCATTAAGGTGGCGATAGCATAATGCATCTGCCCGGAAAGCGGAGGGTACGGCTTCGAGTCCCGTCTGCTTCCTGAACCGAATGCAGTTTATTCTAGTAAAATTTTCTTTACATTTAAACATCTAACAGTGAAATTCTTGAAAAATCTAATATATAAAATTCTCGTGTCGCGGTGTTTGTGGTTAAATTCCTCCGAAATGGCTCGACCGATTTTCGTGTAAATTTATATGCATATTTAGTAGGTCTGAGAATCGGATGTAATCTATTTTTCATTCCCATAAATGTTAAGGGTAATCCACCCCTAAATTTTTTTTTTCAATTTTAGGTATATATATTGTTTTTTAATTTTTTTATGATACATCATACAAAAATACATACATCCCTAAATTTTCAACTTTCTGCCACCAACCCCTATTTTTTATGGCGGTACGAAGTTCGCTGGGTCAGCTAGTAGAAATATATAATTCTGTTTTTTTTTCTTCTGCAGCGCACAAGATGCGGGCCGTGTGGTGGAGTGCGACGGCGCTGGCGCTGCTGGCTGTCACCAGCGCTCTACGGACCACGCAGGTAACTATACTTGTGTTAGACTAGGAGTAGCAAGAAAAATACAATGCAGCAGCTGCTCATTTTACTGCTAGGACGCCTTTTTTTTGTAAACAAAGTGTGTAAACAATGTTTTAACAATCGTTATCCGCTTGATACCAATCATTATATTATAGTAGTCACTTTATTATAGTAGATCCTTGATCCTGTAGTTCCCTACCAGGATTTTAAATACCTACAAGAGATATAATGGCGGAAATGTTACCTACTGTTGAAGCTAAATCATTATGAACTTACTTTCGTATTAAGCATGCATCAATGTAAGTGATGACTTAGTGGCAAAATAAACAGCATTGAAGACACGTTTGTTTCTATTAAAATTATCCAAGCAATCAATAATAGTTTTTAGATCCATGGACACCTACAAAAAGTGATCTATGCGGTTTCTCGTCACATTCCAATAGTTTTTTTCAACTCCTTAGTAAGATATAAACAAAGACATTGAAATATTTAAGAAAAAAATAAATGTTTCATTTCGTTTAACGAATTCAATATTCTTTTCACGGTATTTTTTTAAAGCGTTATCTGTAAAAACTGGACTAGTTTAAATGTTTCCTTCTGATTGGTTACAATAATTCGGGTGCGCTGCTAACTGTATGGCGTGCGCCGGCGCCGGTGCTTCCGTATTCGACAGACCGTGTGGCCTCGAAACCAGCGAAGAAGCCTCAAAGTTTCAAGACTGTACATTTATTTATTTGGGATAACAACACCCATCAATTTAGTTTAAAATTTTTGATTTTACAGTATGAAGCCAATTACAGTCACCCACTATTGTTTTTATAATTTTTAATTATGTATTTGTTATTTGGTGAGAACAGCCCAATCACTTATACAAATGCAGAAGTGGGTGCATATTTACAAGTACTACTAATAGAGATACTTTAGTTTGAGTGTGATTTTTCAAATGCAAATTAAAATTAAGGCTGCCAATGCATGTGATTATAGCCGTATTGCATATTATATTAAATTACCAGCAGATTATAATCACGTGCATTGTACATCGTAGAAAGATGGAAAAAAAAACAAGAGAGAACTGTTCCACTATAGTTAGGCAAATAGGCTGTGTCAACCAAAGTATTTACTAATAATTATTTATTTCTAAGTATTAAATTTTCTTTGACTCGCTCGTTAACAATGAGTACTTTTTTGTATTAATATTCATTTATATGTCAGTAATAAAGAATTTTATCAATGCATATATCTATCAATACGTTTCGTTATTTAATTTTTTTATGATAATTATTTATTTTTAAACATGTACTACACATATTATTATAGTAATGGATCATTACATAACTATGCACAAATATACTAGCACGTTTCGTGGCCGCACGAACAACAGGGTCAATGCATATCACAGTGCGAGTCAATATGAACCGTATTGCCGTGTGTTAAGTTTGCACGTTTCTCGTTTGGGGACCTTTGGCAACACGTTTGCGAAGTGGTATTTGATTTGCCGTAATAAAATCAAATTATTGTTTACTCCAACGCATAAGTAGTTCGAATTCCAAATGTTGTTATTAATTGGCGATTTCAGCAAATGAGCGGAATAATAATAATTATCAATTGCACACTTATACAGATACATTAATAACATTATATTTATAAGGCAGAATAAATCGATGGCTTATAATAAATGTTACATACCTAAGTTACAGATACTGTAATACTATAAAACTCTGTTTAGTCCGTTTAATTAAACAAACATACACCAACTTAAGAATTTAATCACCCACAAGAGTGCAACAAAAGTGACAGTAAATAAAATCTACCATTTATTATAAATACTACAATGATTTTCATTGTTTGTCAGTCAATCACACGGTTGAAAGGATTTCAACGAAATCCTCTGTATTAAAATATTAATCTGTGTTATTTTCAAGAGTATTATAATCCCGGCTAAGGGTACAGCGCGTATTCTATGTCCAAATATTAATAAATATTCAAAATGGCGGGAAATCGCTTTGTAAAGCATTACGCATAAAATCCGTTATTTTCGCAGTTTGTAGATTTAGTGTCATTTCCCAGAGCTGTCGAAGCATGACGTTGTTATTATAAATAAACCGCAGCCGAGTTAATTGTGAAACTTGAACGGGTGTCCTGGGCGGTCAACTACCAAGGTTGCGACTTGCGTCGGCGCAGCACAGGCGATTCTGTATCGCGCTAACTGGAGGGCCTTGCACACGTAACAGCTGTTCGACGTTTTGTGTTCACTCTTCATGGAGCAATGATTAAATTTAATAGCCGCTTTGCTGGCTGGCACCATTATTCCCAATTCAAAAAAATTAGGCTTGATCCAGTATAACACATCATTCCATCTTGCTCAATTGTTTAAAGTTAAAAAGAGATAGGGTTAGTCTTAAAGGTGAATAAGAATAAGAATTTTATTCAAGAACGTTTTTTTTATCGATTTACCAAGTTTGTTAACATTTGTACTACTTACACTAAAGTTACAAATTTTAAAGTTAAACGTAACAAATATTTATACGTAAATACCACATGCCAATAAGAAAACGATACAGTGTTTGTTAACTTTAGTGAAACTGGACCTAGATATGCATTTTATTACTGATAGGAAAGTGAAAATTACCTAAGTACTTTACTTAAGATACTGTAACAAACTTTTGAGTGTAGCTTCGGAGATACTAAGAGTATTTATTACCAATGGAAACAATTATCTCTGCTCTTATAATAATGACTATATTATCCATACCGAAAAAGCACTGATTGAAAGCGCATCGATTGCTGGAATCTTGTTACGTATGACACCTTCTTCAACCGATCCAATGACCTCCTCATAGGGAATGCGTCTAGGTGTAATAGCTATTACACCTAGACGCATTTCCTCTTGTGCCTACACTCTAGACGACGATACCGTCAAATATTTGCTACGTCCTAGAAACGTCCAGCCTCCAAAACTATATGGACTGCCTAAGATACACAAGCTGAATGTGCCGCTACGTCCGATCGTGAGTCAGATAGACTCACCTACGTATGAACTGGTCAAGCACGTAGCAAAAATATTGCAGCCAATAGTGGGACGAACATCGTCGTTTGTAAAAGATTCCTGCCACTTCGTAGAAATCTTATACCAAAACAAGGTGGAAGACAATCACTTGATGGTTAGTTTTGACGTGGAATCACTTTTCACAAATGTACCTGTGGTGGACTATTTGGAAGTAGTAAAGGTGAAATTGCAAGACAATAACATCCCGACGGAATATGCCAAGTTTTAGCATCATTGTTTGACGACGAACTTCTTTATATACCGGGGTCAGTACTACCTCCAAATAGATGGGGTCGCAATGGGCAGTCCGGTAGCTCCAGTCGTTGCCAATATATGGATGGAGTATTTTGAGGAAAAAGCTTTCGCCACCGCCCCCACAGAAATTTCACTATGGAAGAGGTATGTTGATGACATATTTTGTATATTGAGAGGAAACAAAGAAGATGTCGAGGCTCATTTGGCAAATTTAAATGGAATCCATACTAAAATGCATTTCACATATGAGATGGAAGAAGACCGAAGTCTGGCATTTCTTGACGTAAAGATTCGGGTGCGGAATGATGGTTTGCTGAGTCATTCCATTCACCGCAAACTCACACACACAGACCGTTATCTCAACGCCTCCTCGCATCACCACCCTAGACATCTAAACCACGGTAATAATATCATACAGTATTCTATCTTCATACAAACGGTCGGAAACCTACGCCACTCGAGTTCGATGTGCTCTCGGCGTGCGCCCAGTCGCGAATGCGCCGCCGCGCCGCAACGACGACCGAACGGTCAGAATTGTTTTTTATGCAGTTAGCCGTGCTTAAACATGCGTTTTGTATTGTAAATATTTGATTTAATTAAGTAGATACCTACATTATTTAGTATGGAAAAGAACAAACGACGATCAATATCGTACAACAGCACAATTGCTGTTTTTGGTTGCTTGAACTCTTCAATAACACACCCAGAGATATAATTTTTTAAATTACCTGAAATATTGGAAAGGTGTCTTACCTTTATAGAATATTTTTTATATACCTATCTACTAGTACGTTATTTGTTTCTAATATTTAGGTATTTCGGTTTTTCCATCGGGCAAAATATCTGGAATAATATATAAATAAGTGGTTAGGATGAAAAAAGAGACAAACGAGTAATCTACCTACACTCGCGTTAAAAACAAAACTACATAAAATACTGTAGGCTGGCGGCCCTACCGCGTGCCAACCTAGCGTTCGGTGTAGGCATTTATTTTCAAGGACAGGGCGGAGTCACAATACTGTATAGATAATATTACCGTGTCTAAACTCTGTAGTGACTTCACTGACGAACCATGCATATGACTTGTGTGTAGCGGTGGGCGTTTAAACGATAAGCGCTTAATTAAGCGCGCTTAAAATATTAAGCTTGTAAGCACGCTTTTAAGTATAAGCGTTATAAGCTTTTCACTTAAAAAGTGTGAGTAAGCTTTTCACTTAAAAAGTGTGAGTAAGCTTTTCACTTAAAAAAGTGCAAGTAATTTTTTTACTTAAAAGTGCTAATCCCGCCATCTATGTCTTTGCCAGAAAACTACATACTTCGACCCTTCTAGTCCACTACAGTATCGAAAAATGGGTACGCGGAATTCCTTGGAACTAAATATTACACAGCATCATAGCCATAGAACGCGCGACATGCCATCTTTCGTGAGCCGGTTAATACAGCATGCGAATTATTATAATTCGACGTAAAAAAAATGCACTTTTTTTAAAATTTGGTCGGATAACCAACGCTTTTTTCGTTAAAAGCGTTTAATTAAACGAAGTCGAAAAGCAGTATGCTTTTCACTGTGACGGGGTAAGCGCGCGTGTTTGTTGTACGGTGTGTTTGCATGATTGCTTGTGTTAATGCGTTTCGTGTATTCATTTAATGTGCATATAAAATATTTAAGTTTGTAAACTTTTTAATAAAAAATTCATTAATA